AGACAAGGAGGTCATGTGGGACAGTGTCTCCACTGGAGAATGGAGAAACATGACTAATTTCCATTGGGATGGTGAGGAAATTCTGTGGATGAAAGAGGATACAACTGTAATAAAAAAGAGATCAACTTTAGTTAATCATCAGTTTTTGGACACCTGTTCCATCTTTCCTAGACATTGAAATTTAGCTGATTGATAGCTGGCAGTTCCTAAGAATTATCTATGTCTGATTTAACCTGAATTGTGAATTATGAACTGTGAATGCTTTCACTGTCAACTGTGAGAATGTTTGTATCATGGTCATGTTAAGAAACTCTTAAAAGATCAACTGCTTTCCTCATGACTTGCAGAAGGAAAAAATCAATGTGTATGTATTTAAGCAGTTGTTTGTACTCAGAGAAATTCTGCAGATATCCAGACCTGTATTGTGAACAATTCCTTGCCAATTGTTTCTCTGAAGTGAGCATACTATCTCAGTATATATACAGACTATGCATACATATATATACATATATATACACACATATATATATATACAGGCTATTCTGTGGCTTTATTTTCACCCTACTTTCCCATTTTCTATCTCCCTGGATAGCTCTCCCTGGATAGATACGCTGATCTCCTCTATCCGAAATAAACTTATTTTCTTAAGGGTTTTAAGAATGTCTGGAAAGAAGTACGGCTTCTAGGAATGCAGTATGTATTCCTGCATTTTCCATGCCTTTTAGTTCAGAAAATTTGTGCTTTTCAGTACAAATAGCCTGGAGCACTCTTCAAAATGAACCATCAGCTCACTATGGATAAAACCAATTTTGTCTGATGTCCAGCTTGCCCACAAGAAAGCAGGAGATGTCTCAGCTGAAAGGTGATAATGCTGATATATTCGATTTCCTAGGGAATACATCCCAAGCATCATAGGTCTCCCATGAGGCTCTTGAGTTCATTGACCCACTACATACACCTTGTTGCCATAAGAGCTGTACATTGATTTAACCCCCTGAACAGTTAATGAGATCTGCTTAGACGTTCATGGACAGCAAATGTGTTCCCTTTCATTAAAAATCTCAAGTATGATTCCCAGTCAAGTCTGAGACTTAGTGACTTACCTGCAAAAATTCAAGGTCAGGTCATAACTAAAAAAAAAACCCAAATGAGAAGAATTTGGTCATGAAGACTCTTCACTTTTTATTTGTAAATATTGGGCTGTACATTAATTACCAAACTATTTATATGGTAGTACTGCAGTTCTCTGGTCCTTTGCACCAGGACAAAATGAGCAGGTACGTGGCTGAGGATTCTCACTGAAGAAATTACTGTGTGGGGTAATGGTCACAGTGAAAGTCCTTGATAGAGGTGGCATTACTGCTGGTTCTCCTCTCTCTGCATGAAAAGTTGCTGACCTCAATGAACGTGAGTACATGTAGCGGGGATATAGCAGCCTCATGCATTAATAGGATAAGCAGTGCCAAGCTATGGACTTTGTAAAATTATTCTTATCCGAGAATAAGGGTTTTATTAAGTGCTTTCAGCTTCATTTCCTCCACATGTTTTTGAACCTTCTCTCTGAGCTCATTGTTTTCGAGTTGGAAATGTCCATCTGGATGCTTGTGCAGGTCTCTGCAAGAAGTTTAAAATATCATTTGTATTTATAATAGCCAGGGAAGCTACTTAGGAATGCTGACAAAAACAAAGGAAGAGACACACATAATTTCTCTCTCTCTCTTCTTTTTTTTTTTTTTTTTTTTTTTAATATAGATATATATAATGAACACAGAGGGTATTTCACTACTTATGCAGAACTGGAAAATGAGAGGAACTATGAAAAGAACATTCACTCTTCGCTTGGCCAGTTAGGAAAGCTAAATACCTATTAGACTGAGTTTTACATTTTATCTGTGAAGGAACATACAATGTAATGGCCAGAACAAGAGCATCCACATGAAAAAACTCGTTTGCCTAAAAAATAAAATGTTGAAACTGCTGTAAAGCAGCAATGTGTTCTCTGTCCTCTAGAGAAACATCACCTTATCCATAACAACAAAGAACCTTCCAGTGACAAACGAAAGGATTAGGACTGCCTTGTTTACTAATAATTTTTTGTTTCCCTCTTTACAAAGCCAAACAGGAAGCTTTTAACAAGTAAATATCAGTACTCAGAGGTGTTTAATATAGAAAAAAATTTTCATTTTTGAAGAAAACATCTAGAACTTAAAAAAAATCCCCAAAACCCTCATGGTTATACAACTAGTTACTCAGGTAAAGCACCTGAGTGACCAACACTGCATCACTGTGGAGAAAAAGGTCACTTTTTAGTTACACAAGTTATCCCAAATCCCCATGTTCTGAACAAGCAGAGTGTCATAAAATGTAAAAATTATCACTGAGTCTGACACATCTGCATTTTCACCGCAAATTATTTTCAATCAATACTGTAGTAGTTACAATAGAGCAATCAGTGTTTAGTCAGAGGTCTCATATATGCAGCCCTGTTTTAAAGTTTAATGGCTGACACTTGCACAGGATTTCAGTGTCAATCAAGTAATTTCCCTCTAAAATTAATGAAAATGAGACATTCAAATTTCTTGATGGCTCTGAAAGTTTCAGGCTACTATGCACATCCTGACATCTAAGCCTCTTTAAGAGGGACAACTGTTGGACAGAAAGCTTGATTCACATGCTTCAAGTCACACAAGGTACCTGTGAAAACACAGTTAGAACTGAGCACTTTCTTCTGTGTTGGTCTGCAATCTCTTAACCTATCCATACTGCCTGCTGCTCAAGCCCTGCTGCCCACAGTGTCCCACCTTCCAGCTCTTATATTTCCTTGTGTCCTTCCTGCAACATCACATATCCCCAGGTTTCACAAAGTGCTTCCAGCCCAATGGAGCTGTCAGGCAGTTCTGAAATGCTGCTCTTCTAAACCATGATGGTAATCATCAACCCTACCAAAGACTCATTTATCCCTCAGAGCTTTCTTTGTCCTCAGGTTCACCCTCAAAGTTTCTCTGCTGAGCTGCAAACTCAGGACATTGGCCTGACAACACTGGAGGCAAAAGGCAGAATTCGTCCTCTACAGTGGCCAGTTTACAATATTTCAGGGAGCAGGTAACTTTGCTTATCAATGAAAGTTATTTTACATGTTGGGCTGTATGATGAAAACACAATGGATTTTGTGGAGTGTGAAGCTCAGACAGCAGAGCAAATGTGACCTGCTCCTAGGAAAAAGCTGAAAAAAAAAAGTACCGTGCCAGTGGGAAATTCTGAGGGCTTGTTCCTCTGCCAGCATTAACAAATATCTAACCCAAAGGGTCGCCCCAAAAAGCAAAAACCACTGGTGCAAGAACATTTAATATCTCTATGAAGGCAAAAAAACTACCTCAAGTGTTAGATCATATTGATAAAACTGAAGTCAGAAACATCCAGGCCAGTGTGTTACATGCCCAGCTGCTTTACGAAGTCCAATCCAGAGATCACATTTGCAGTGCAGATTTGCTCAAAGTACAGACCTGCATCCCACTCATGATGGAAGCCCTAGAGCGTCTCAGTATGACTTTCTACATAATTCTGAAGGGGGTGCTTATCTTCAGATTTCTTCCCATTTCTCTCCCCTAACTTCAAATCATACCTACCTTTCTTCTTTTGCTGATTTCTCTTTGCTTTCTTCTGAGAGTGTCTGCCCAACTTGTGGAAATTCAGCTCTCACCATCTCTGGAGTAAGAACCATTTTGAACTCAGTTTCATCTGTCTCTCTAAAAATTAGTAAGATGAAGGACAGTTAGCTTGATCCTTTTAAAAGTATTTTTTAGCCAACAAAAATGAAAGTATGTTTTATGCAAGAGTGACTTCGTGCTTTTGCCTTTGGAGATCTCTTGGGACAGGTTTAGGTACATCTATACAAGTCTTTCAGAAATAATCATCAGTCACGTCTAGTATGAAATAGAGGAGAAACTTACTGGTCGATTATGTTCTCCTTGTCTCTCTCAGGTAAGTCACACAACATTGGTGGTACATGTCTTGGAAGCATATCTGAACTGTAAGGATCCCTGTGATGGAAATGGTATTAGTTTAGGAGGGGCAGAGAGTAACTGCACTAAATGTTTATATTTTGAAGCTTCACATAGTTGTAATTACAATGAAGATGATGTAGTCAGTAGCTGCTGTGATAGGAGGGAATGTGAGCCTGAGAGATGTTGACTACTACTTGGTACAGGAGCCCACATGTTCAAGGTTTTACCATTCATACTTCTGCAGGACAGACAGCTTTTGTACCTCTCAGGGTCTTCTAAGACTGAACCAAAAAGTATTCAGGAGAGATACTATTGAAAGTCCAGACTGGAACTCTTCCAGGGCTAGGTATTTCCTCTAACAATGTTGTTCTTAACCCAACCTTCAGTGAGGTCAGCTGGGGTTTTCCCCATTGGTTTTGGATTTCTGAGCAGCAATTAATTCCACCCATAGCCTCACTTTTATCTGTGGGACTGGTTAATGTAGTTACAGACAGTAGAAACTAGTGCCAGGTAGAGGCACTGTATACTCAAATTCTTTCTTACCTAGGTGTTGTACTTGTCCATGTGGGAGTGTTAGAAAAAGCAGAATGCACCACTGGTAAGAATCTTTTCCATTCCATTACTCCAGAAATCACATCCTGAAATGACAAGTGCTACAGCGATCAGACCTCTAATACATAATGCAGTGTATGCAGTGGGGAGAGAGGCTTGATAGACAGACTGTCTGACTTCTTGGCTGAGAAGTGAAACTGATAAGCTGAAGTCCTCCATATTTAAAAGATGCTTCCTCCACTGCAAGGTCATGAATGTACAATAGACAGTGAAAAGAAGGAAAGAGCAGAGAAATATTTAGGGATAAACAAGAGGCATGAATAAAGCCTAACAAGAACAAGTTATTCTGATCCATGTAGTGACTATTTAGGTGATGCACAACTTATATTAGAAAATGTCTCCTACCTAGGATGACTCTTGGTCTTCCTTGTAGATTACTTCAAACAAATTCTTAGCAAGAACATACTGATACAATAAACTCAAAAGGCCATACCTTGTGATGTAGAAATTTCTTTTGTGTGACTGGAATACTGGATCCTTTGGGGCATTCCTTGGTAAAGGTGTATTTTGGATGAGGACAAAGATGATATTCAATATTTGTTTCAGAATAGGCCAAAGGAAGTAAAACTGGAACTAATCCTGGAGTAGGGTTCTAAAAGAAAAGGTTATTTTACAAAATCATTCTGAGCACCATAAAGAACTAAACTGATGAAAATTCAGTTCTTACAAATAATGTAGTCTCCCCAGATTCACACCTGTGTCTCATTGTGACTGTTCTGTTTGGTGAGACCACTCATTTCCTGTCTCTTCCCCTCATCACAGACCCATAAATCTGCCTGGTTTACCCATGCTCTCTGCTGTCTAAAATAGAGCAATTTAGGTGTTCTCTCCAAGTTTGGAAGAAAAACTATTTCCTGATTACTCCAAAATCCACTGCTGATTCTCTGAACAGTTCAGAATGGGAACTGACTTTGCTGTGGTGGAAGATAGTGAGCATTTTGTCATCTATTTCACTGCACTAGCATCTGTTTCGGAGTAAAGCCTAATGCTGAGTAGTGTGGGCTCAGGCTGTGCCTGGCTCTTACACTGACATGGCAGAGGGATGAAAATGATGTGAAAGTGATGCAGAGAGGATCTCATCACTAAGTCTACTGGAGTCCCGGCCGCATGCAGTGAGGACTAGTCTATAGCATATATATTACATCAAGATCACCATATGAGCACACTGGGCTCTGGAACATTGCAGCTAAGCACTGCTGAAAGACAAACAAGTCAGACACAGTGCCATGCTGGCTTAGAGATGCTGCCTGTACCCATGCACAGCACTTCACTGAGCTGTACAGCAGAGAGTTTGACTTCACTCTACTCAGTTTACCTAAGGATCAGGCAGAACTGCAGTCCCCTAGCTGAACAGAAGGAAAAAGACTTCATCTGTCCTAATTACCTGGGCAAGAGCATGAGGTTATAGAAGGACTGAGATGCCAAGATCATGGCTTTTCTTCTAACATCCAAGTGAGGAAACAAATGGAGAAGATGGGAGAGGCCCCATGGTGTTCCAGGGAATCCTGGGATCAGTGACCATTTGTGGAGTGTGAGACTGGAAGTGTCTCCAGTTCACTGGCAACTTTGCTTCATCATTCCTTTCCTAAACTGATCAAATTCCACCTTAAAGTGAAATGGTTCCCCTCTCAGTGGGATTTGCTCTGTGACTTCTACCTACCAGAGCTTGCACCTTGGAGAATTACTCTCAGTGTAGATAGATTTATATACCAATCTGAGTAAGAAAATTGCCCACCAATTCCACATCAGGCTTCTGATGAAACAAACCTCTCTTCCCCTCTGTTTTTAGGTTCTTTGTGGAAGTCAACTTCTACTTACAAAAATGCGAAGTGGGATGCTCTCTGTAGGGTAGACTAAAGCTTGGGGAGGAATCAGTTTTAAGAGGCTGATATCCCTTCCTGCTGCTTCTGGGGATGGTTTGTGAAAATCTGCCCTCTCGGAGACCAGGCCAAGCTGCCCCTCAGAAGAAGCAATTACTTGAATCAACTCATCCTTGAAAAACACAGACATCAAATGTTTTCATAGTAAGCCTTTTGGTATAAAATGTTGAGACAAAATGAATCAAATAATTGTAGGAATGTAGGGCTGGGAGTGACTTCAGTAAAGTTTGTATCTGAGATGACTTGTTACCTGGGCTCCCTGCCTCAGTGGTCGGGAAAGTTTTCGAGGTTCGTAGCTTGTGGCTGCATAGTGTGTACAAAATGGCTGATACTTCATAATGCTGAAATGCTGAGGAACCTAGAGTGCAAATAAAAAAGATTTGCTGCAGGAGATGACACTCATCACTTCTGATTAACTCGTAAATGGAATGGAACATTACAGCTTTATCACAAACACATCACATCTCTGTGATAAAAGATACTTGGATCACTATTCTGGAATGTGTTGTATGACCAAAGCTTTGAGAAGCCATACTTCACCAGGACAAGCTGAATGAGGGCAGAAAGCAATATTTCCATTCTTGTTTTTCTATAAAAGATCGTGGATTTAATAGGTTTTTGATAAAATATACTGAGCTTAATGTGGTGGAGAAAAGCTGTGTTAAGTAATACACGTAACAGTGATAGATGAACCAATGTGTGATAAGGGGAAAAGATGCTACAAGAAAGCTTCTAGACCTGTTACACCATCTATAAAGAAAAAAAAAGTGAACATTGAGCCCAAATCTGTATTGATTTGAACTTGGGGGAATATTTTGATTTTGATGGAGTGCAGAATTCGATCTTTTGCTATTCGAAAGTTGGAGAGAAAAGGGTTTAAAAGTCAGGAGAAAAAAAAAAAGTTTCTGTATTCATAAAGTTGGAAAAAAAAGTATTTTGAAGAGATATTTTCAGGAATGAAGAAACTAAGCATGCAGAACTGGATGCCAAATAAATAGAAGACTTCCATTACTCTCTAGAAGGAAGGACACTTCTATAATGTCACTTTCATAATCTTCTAAAATCAAAGAAAAAACTGTATGGTGTGCAGGGCTTGCAGTATCTTTATTCATAGAAGGATTTTGTTGGTTGAAATATAATAATTTCAGCTGAGGTGGTTCAACTCTGTCTGGAGAGGGCACTACTGCTGGCTATAAGGTTGTTATTTATGGAAACAGGTGAAATTTGTTTTTAATAAAAGCATGCTAATCACACAGCCATATTAAGGCAACATTTCTACAAGGCTGCACACTGGGGTCACTGAATAAGGCAGAAAACATGTCTAACTGGACTGGTGAAAGAGAGAAGCATGATACATCTGAGGGAGCTGTTCTGACTTACCTTCAAGTCATAAAAAGGAAGAATATGTCTCACTTTCACATCTACAGATTCAATAGGAACTAGGCCAAGAGCATCAGGTGCCTGAAAGAATAAAGTATTTAAAACCCAGTAAAATGGTGGGCCTTGATTTTGCATTGACAGCAATCCGTAAGTACAGCTGCTTGAAAACATATGGAAATAATTATGCAAACATTTTGTTTGATATTTCTCCTGTCCTTTCTTGGACTTTGGCATTTCAGTTATTCTTTATTTCTTTTCTTCTGCAAAATCATGGATGTCAACTAACTCTGATCATGAATGTATTATTCAGAATTTTATAACGCCATTAAGAGAATGTAAAGATTTTTTTTACTGTTTTCAGCAGCACCCTTAGTAAATCTGAAGTCCTGAATTAATTTGTCAGAACCCCAGAACACCAGTCACATTGTGAAATTTTAATGAAGACAGTACTGGGCCTGAGACCAATGTCTGCAACAAAATTCTGTCTGCAACAAAATTCTATGTATCTTGATGGCCCACTCAAAATTCTATCTTGAGTGGGCCATCATTTTTTTACTGTACCTACCAAATCTTGCTGCAGTTCATGGGAACTGTAAAAGGGGAACTCAAAAGGCAATATACGATCTTCAGTTATGCTGGAAGAAAAGCCCTTACATTCTTCACTCTTCTCTGGTTTGCTGAAACTCTTGCTTTCTGTCATGAATGGAAAGCAAATACTAAGATTTTTTAATATATGTCAATACACTGTTT